GGGGGGGAGGGGGGAAGGTGAGAAAGGTGCCCTCCGGCCGCCTAGCACCCGCCCCGCCTCCCCCGACCTCGGGCGGGGTCCCGTCTAGTCCTCCAACCACGTGCACACCACGCTCCACGCGCCACCCTCCCCAGCACCAGCCTGCCCAACACCCTGTTGCCCAGGCAACGGCGGGGGCAGGGGTTTGGGGGGGTGGGGTGAGGGAAGGCCATTTTCTCTCGGGGCTGGGCCTAATGGCGCACTTGGAAGAAGTAGGCGGGGGCTGGAGACCCGCCCTGGATCCTCAGCCGCCTGGGGAGAGGCTCTCCCGCCCCGCCCTCTCTGACCAGGAGAGGCATCTGCTCTCTCGGGACTGAGGCACAGTCACCCAGAGGAGCGAGGGTCCTGCGTGCCACCTTCCAAAGGTCCGAGAGACCGATGGAAGCTTGCCCCACCCCAGGCCATCCCCACATCCAAGCTGGGGCGAGGCACCTTATAGGGGGTGCTGCCGCCGATTGCGGGCATTTTCCCCCATTCACTCTGCGTTCCCACCCCTTTGCAAAGCCCGCTGCCCGCCCTTCATGCCCACCTAGGTTTATCTCCAACCACTGGGACACCCAGTCCTCGCCCTTTACTCTGCCCTTTCCTGGCTTTGGGGGAGAGAAGAGTAGACTCCCTTTGAGCCACTCAGTAGAAGGCGGCCACTGCAGCCAGGGACCCTAGGGCACCCCCAGACTTCTCCCAGGGTCAGCAGCTCCGCTTGCCCTGGGACTCCCAGGAGAGGCGCATGGGGTGGGGGGTGTTGTCAGCAGGCGGTCCCCCCACCCCCCCCACCCCCGCCCCAGCCAGATAAACCTTGTCCATTAGAGGCGCCCTGCACCATGATTCAAAATTGCACACACGGGTGCCTGGGTGGCTATGCCAGGTAAGCGTCTGACTCTTGGTTTGGGTCGTGGGATTAAGCCAGTGGAGCCCCCAACCTCTCCCCACTGACCATGCAGCCTGCCTGGGATTCTCTCTTTCTCATCCTCTACCCCTCTCCACTGCTCATGAGCACAATATCTCCCTCTCCAAAATAAATAAATAAACAAATAAAACAAAATTGCATACAGAAACTGAACTGAATCACGTGTTTATTTACTGGAGCAAAAGGAACCATGGTGGAGAAATAGTTGAAATTTTGAAATTTTCGGGACAGTTTTATTTAGTTTACAATATGGATCTGTTCTGTTCTTGAACAATAATATGTTATTGCTATAACCAGGGCTTTTCATGCATACCTTTTAAATAAGATCCACAAAATTTGAAAATAAATTTGTAAGCAATACATCTGTTGCTGAATATAGGTTGTATCACTGATTTTTCCAAACATTTTATGGAGCTACTTGAATCAGTATATTGTTAAATAATTGTTGGTTACTTACAACTTATGGCAAAGATAATCTTTAACTGGAGAAAATTCACAGGGAAATGAACAGCATTTCTCAATGAGATTTAATACTTCGCCTAAGAAATTTTCATATATATATATATGAATATATATGTATATATATTTGGATACTAAATTTGACACTAAAACATAAAGGATCTTTCAATTAGAGTTCTGAGATTAGTCATATGCCTTAAAATGCAAACTGAAATGTTATATGGTTATTCATTCAGGTATGTCCTTGTATATTTACACTGAAATACTTAATTTTACAAGGCAGTTATTTCCAAGGATGATTTTTCTGAAGAATTTCACTTTAAATGTGATACAGTTGAGGGGCATCTGGGTGGCTGTCAGTTAAGCAACTGACTTCGGCTCAGGTCATGATCTCACGGTTCATGGGTTTGAGCCCCGCGTCAGGCTCTGTGCTGTCAGCTCAGAGCCTGGAGCCTGCTTTGCATTCTGTGTCTCCCTCTCTCTGTTCCTCTCCTGCTCATTCTCTGTCTTTCTCTGTCTCTCAAAAACAATTTTTTAAAAAAAATTTTTTTAATAAAAAAAAAGTGATACAGTTGAATAGAACAACAAAGACAATACATCTTTAATCATCTTCCAAACTGCCAAACTATTACTGTAGTTATTATTGTAATGGCAGACATGTTTCTACTATCTCCCTAAGGATTTTTTTAATTTAAATTTTAGTTAACATACAGTGCAATATTGGTTTCAGGAGTAGAATTCAGTGATTCACCACTTACATACAACACCCAGTGCTCATCACAACAAATGCCCTCCTTAATGCCCACCACCCACCTAGTCGTCCCTCTCCCACCCACCTCCCTCCACCTCCCTCCATCAACCCTCAGTTTGTTCTCTATCACTGAGTTTTATCCATGCCCTCAAGTGCCAAATTAGCGCCTTTTTTTGTCCACATTGATTAAAGGCAAACGTAT